GCTGGAAAGAGATAATGGGCGGTGGGGGGGTCTGTGTAGTTGCTTCCATTTAAAACTTGACCGTGACCACAATGTTTCAAGTTCTCTCTGTTCTCTTCTTTCACTTGTGCCTCTGGAGCGCTTTCCTCTTTCTCCTTTTGAAGAAGCAACAGCACCTGCACAAACACAGAGACATGGCTTCCTTTAGAAAAGCAGGTATTTACACACATGTAGATACTGGTACATAGCACGGCCTGTGAGGGTTGGGGTTCAGCAGCCAGTTCTAATCTGGCTTCCTTTCTTTTAACCATTTCACTTACTGTAATCTCATCATTTGTCTTTATAATAGTTATAAATGAATTAAGGAAGTCGTGGACTTTTAATAACTCAGTTGTTCATGTTTGAAACTACAAATATTTCTTTTGGGGGATCATCTTTGAGGATCATCCACGGCACCTAATCCACTCGACTCCGCTCGGTCTTTAGGGTTTTCCACTAGGTGGCAGCGTCAGGTACCAGGTGCTTTTTTAGCGTCATCCACATGAGCCGAGTTGAGCCAAAAAATGTGACATCAACAGACTCCATTCCCCTCTGTCGAGCCGCCTTGCTACAGCAACCCCACCCACACTGGGGTGGTACACAACTGTAGCGGAAAACGACCAAAACCCAGTAAGAAAAAGTCGAGTCAAGCTGAGTAGGTGCAAATGGAAAAGACTCGCAGAGCTCAACTATGACGATGGTAATCTAGCTGGTCGCCTATTTAAGCTTAACTAGAGCTAGCAAAGTTGTGGGCTGTGAATCGCGTAGAAAAAAGACAACATGAACACGAAGAATGTTTCCGAAAGATAAGATGATGTAACTGCTTCTAAATTAAACGAGCCATATTCATTTAAACATATTTCTGAGCATTAAAAGAGGCTGTTGTGTTGTTTTTAACTAATATGTATATAACAGCCTAGTCTTTTGTTTTTTGAGTGTGGTCTCATGAATTACTGACACACAGCTGAGTCACAGTAAATAAAGGAGTTTTAAAGTAAGTCTAACCTGCTTCACTACACTTACAGTTATATTCTTTATGTGCAACGGTTAAAATGTTCCCCTCCCTGCTGGTGAACTTTAAGTCCCATTGATAACATTCCTACTGTGCCTCAGCTGCTACGGCTCAACATACACAGGACGCTACAAACAGAGATATGACAGTGACACACTCATACTTGATGTTTTAGTCAGGCTTAGAACAGACGCTGGCGTATTTACAGCAGGTAATGGCTCCAATATTTGATCGTCAGAGAGAAAATCTGATTTCTTCTTTATATAGTTATAATAGGTTAAAACGGTGTATATAAATGCACTGCTGTGTTCCTATGTAAACAAACCTAACTTAACTGAAGTAGGAAGCATGGAAACAATATTTAAAGTAGCACAAAGTGCAGCTTGTTACTGTGACTAAGTCACTGCCTGTACTCAAAAGGCTTCTACACGGAGGAGCTAACAACAAGGAACACAAAACAATTTAGATGCTTTTCAGCACCAATTTTGGATTTGGACTTATTGGACAGCACTGAAAAAGAAAAGCATGTGTTTTCTGTGTGTGAATGTGAGGATCCCTCATACTTGGTTTCATCAGGTACGTCAACCTCGGTGGGAGCGGTGATGGGAGCGTTGGAGTGTCCGGCTGTGGGATCATCAGTGTTCAGCTCGCCATTTGTTGAGCTCATCACCTGCACCATTAGAGAAGGACACCAGACTGAATCCAGTTGATGAACATTCACAGGATCAAATAAATGCACCTTGACTATCACAAGTTATCCGCCCTCTCAGGTAAGAAAACAGTTATGCAAGTAACCCAGGATGAGCCAGCTAAAGCCAACAAAGTTTAAAGGACAGGTTCACACTGTTCATTTCTGTCTTCAAACACAAATAAGGCACCGAACAAGTATTGAAAACGATTTTCCTCGCTGTGATCATTTCTCCTGCTTTTTGAGGCTGGTAAGAAATCATTTCCTTTGTTTTTACTCCAAAATCTCTTCTTGTTGCTAAAGTCAGTTTGAAACACACTGAAAAAAAAAAACAGCTGATGGACAGCTGAACAAGAGAAAGGAAAACTGCAAGGAAAACTTGATATGTGAATAAGATTGCAAGACAAGAACGTGAACCAATCCTCTAAATACTGCAATTCTATTAGCCGACACTGGGTGGCGCTTGTGCACCACATTTTCTGCAGAGACTTATTTCCGGTGACACAGTTTACACACTGAAAACAGCAAAAACACAAAGAAATATTATAGAATAAATGTACAAAAATAGACCTTTTAGTGTTTCTATTATATTATTATTATTATAAGATACTGCTGGATGTCATCTTTGGATGGCCTTGGATGCAAGCAGCCTAGAAGCAGACCGACAGCAGTGACACACAGGATTCACACAGTCTGATTCGAGCACAGAGTCGAGACAGAGCATCTAACGGGCAGGCAGTGTGAAGTCAGTGAGAGAGAGGGGAGGGGGGGGTCAGACACACAGACAAACCTATATGGCCTCATGCATGAGCCATCAAAGCAGCAGCTGTAGCAGCAGCAGTACCTGAACAGAGCCCCCCAGCCGCTCAGCTGTGAGGTGCGACCCCAGAGTCTCCTTATTGGTCACGGGAGTGGGCTGAGACTCACTTCCTTTGGGCTCAGGCGACTTGACGCAAAGAGCAAAAAGGGTTGAGGCAGGTGGGTGTGAGGTGGTGAGAAGGGAGAGGGGGGTGAAGAAGTTTGTGGGGGTTATGGGTCAGGGGGTGAGGGAATGAAGAGTGAGGGAAAGGCAATGTGGTTGAAGGGGGTGAGGGCAGAAATGTGGAAGGACAATGAGAGGAGTTGGGGAGGGGGGGTGGATTAAAAAAAAGAAAAGAAAAACAAAAATTATAGAAGACATCTCCCAAGCAGAAGCAGGCTTGTTAAGACGAACTATGTTAATAGAGGAGTAGAGGGAAGCAAAAATTTATGTGAAGCACAGATCGACACTCTAGTAAAATCATGCAGGAGTAAAAGAAAACAGCCTTGATGGGCTCAGCTGGCACCGCTGAGCAACAGCGTCATCACGTCATCAGACTCTCTGAACTTAGCTGTGGACTCAGGTTTACAGTACAGCAGTTCTTACACTCTGCTTTCACTGACCTAAAAAAATATATGTACAAATATGACATTTGGCTACAGATGCTCACAGCCAGCACTTTCTATTGATACACTGTTTTAAGCAGGATGTTAAAGCTTTACAGTCATTACTGTACATGGTGCAGAAGGCCGTGCGCTGCGAGCTTAAAAGGTGGAACGTTATCGCCGAGCCAATCGCATTAAATACAGAGTAATAAAAAGAGGCTAGAGTCCACAGAAACAAGTCAATCATAAAGTCAAACGGATTCCTTGTACAGCTTTACTGGAACCGATGAGTCAGACTCACCAAGTACAACTTCATGATCAGGAAAATTATTTGTTATCACTGGTTATATTTTATAGATTTTTTTTGGCATAATAAAACCAATCAATCATTATCCTATCATTAACATTATATAAAAACAAAAGAAACAAGGCTCGGATAGCATGCTATTAACAACAAAAAGTCAACACTTTGTCACAGACTAAGCAAATAAAGACGGATGACAAATGAAAGGAAAAACATGAACCCCTGATCGCCACAGTGAGGTGATCTGGTGACTCCGGCATCTCCCACCTGGTATGGGCCCACTTTTCAATTCTATTCAATTTTATTTATACAGCTTAAGGCGCTTTATATTGTAAGGTAGATCCTGCAATATTAGAAACAGAGAAAAACCCAACAGTCATATGACCCCCTATGAGCAGCACTTTGGCGACAGTGGGAAGGAAAAACTCCCTTTTAACAGGAAGAAACCTCCAGCAGAACCAGGCTCAGGGAGGGGGGGGCAGCTGGCGTGAGAGAAGGAGCCTAAAGGGATGTTTGACTGCTCATCGATACAATGCTGTGCTGAGTGGTTGCATTTAGCCAATGGTTGCACATTTCTGTTCTGACAGGAGTGATCTCTTCCAGGATAGTCACCGATTGGTTTGGTGATTATGCAAATAGTGTGAATCATATGCTATGGCCCCAAAAGTCAGGAGATAGCCCAGGTGAACACCAACGGCACATTTTGAGCTTGGCTGTAAGACGGCGCTCTCCGCCGGCGCTGTGCTCAAACCCTCCGGAGAGTTCAAGAGGTGGTGTCCTGGCAGCTCGTCACCTTCCTAAAGTTTGGATTTTTTTTTTCCATTTATTTGTCACTCGTCTGTACTTTGTCATTACTGGTGTGAACAATGCAATTTGCATTTTCAACTCATGCATGCAATGACTGAGCTTAGCGTGGCAAGGTGTGAGTCAAAAACGATGCTTTGTTTCACAGCTGGAGAGTCTGCCTCGTAACGGCACGTGCCCGTTCATTTGCTACAAAGGCATTCGTTTTGTTTTTACTTTACGGACTTTGTGGGGAGACGGGCGTCACTGCCGACCAGTCAGACTGTAGACGCGAACAGGAAGTTGCTTACATTTGGAAACAACGAGAGTGACCTCGAGGATAAACCTGACTGGTTTGGGTGGTCACCCAAGCAACTATATTGGTAGGCGGGAGTGGTGATTGCTGTGTTTTAATGTTGTTGCTGATAACCTCACCGGGTTTTTGGTCTGCTGTTGTGCTTTGTCTCTGCTGTTGGGCTGCACGGGCGTGTCACTGGGGATGGGGCCTATCGGTGTGGGCTGCAAGGCAAACGAACAAAAGCACAAACAAAACAACCTTAGTGAGAAATTTTTAAAAACAACAAACAAAAATAAATAATGTTAATGCCCACGTGATGAGAGACGCTTTTGGCAATTTGGTAATCGGGTTTGCAAAAATAATTAGCTTTGCGTTATTAAGAAATAATTACAGTTAGAGCGACAATATAAACTGGTTGATGATGCTAGCAGAGGTCAGGTGGGTTCAGTGAAAGGCACTCACGAGCGATTTGCCGACCCAGTCGTATTCGTAGTCGAAGACGTAGCCGTTCCTATCAAACAGATCGGTGAAGAGCTTCCTCAAGTAATCGTAATCCGGCTTCTCAAAGAAATCCAGCCTCCTCACATAGCGCAGGTAGGTGGCCATCTCTTCTGTACCAAAAGATATATACTGTGAAATCCACACCACTTTCATTTAAAATAAATAAACCCGAAAGGAGGAAAATAGCGCTCTACTGACCAGGGAAACTTTCACAAAGGACTTCAATCGGCGTTGCTCGCTTGGTGTCTCCAATTTTCTGATACCTCTCCTTCAGGGTGTCGGCCTGCAGGGGAAACAAGTTTAAATGTTTACTGTACTATAAATCCTACTCTAATCTAAATATGAGCACATGTGCTGCTGCTTGAGGCGTCCATGAACATGTCCAATATTCAAAACAGACAGATTCTCAAGTCGTGATATCACATGTGCAGCGCAGCGCCTGCATTTGTGCCGCGGCTCTTTGGACTCACAGAAGTTTTGCCACATGTCATGTCGATATCAGCACTTTGCAACATCGTCTCAGCTGTAGATATCTGTTGGTGTGGGGAAAGAAATCCCACAAATCTAGGGCAACCTGTCGCTGACCTCCTCACTGGCACAGGAAAGGCTTCTCAGCTGTTATTTAATTTTCTATCACACATGATGGGATGTTCTTCTGCTCTAAACCAACCAGATCCCCTCCAACCCTTCAGGGTGGTATAGTTTTACACTCCATACAGGGGTTCAGCACAACTCTGTGCGAGTTCCTTAGCTGCCAATATATTGATCGATAAGCTTCAGCGGATTTTCAAGCTCACTCTCCTGTTGTGTGTTTGTGTTGGCCAGAGCTATCCAACATCCCCCACATTTATACATCCCTCACATTCATCCACCAAGAGCTTCCACCCACATAGCAAATGTTCAGATGAGTTGTCTTGTCTTCTAGTCTGTTCTGTGTACACCTTTGATACCGATGCCTTCAAAAAGCAACCACAGCAGCTCTGCAGCCTGCTGAAACCGGCCCTTGAGACACCTGCGACTGTGGCCGTGCTCCTTAGTCATGTAAGCTTTTTCTCACAGCTCTTAAGATGCAAAACAAGGTGCAGAAGGTGGTTTCCTGTCGCATCTGATTGTGCAGAAAAAGGTGTGTAAATTCAACAGAAAAATAAAGAGACAATATTTTAAGTATCCAACTGTGCCAATTTAACTGTTTCTCAGTGTTTCAGTTTCTAAAAAGAGAGACCTTAAAATGTCACCAGTCTGAGAGGATGCTAAAGTTGAGTGGCCGTCAAGTATCAAAAAAGAAACCGCTACGCCACGCATCGAGTGGATTACAAGACAAGCGTTATATCAGCATGAGGCAAATTGCTGCAGTACCTTTAGGCCTTGCCAGGGAAGGCTGCCTCGAAGGAAGTACATGAACATGTGACCCAAGGCCTCCAAATCGTCCCTTCTGCTTTGTTCTGGAAGTACAAGATCAGGATGAAAATGAGGTTAGCTGTGATAAACAAATGCATTTTATAACCAGCTGGCAAGACTAACAGTGGCTTCAAAGAAACAAAGCACGAGTCCACTGTTCCCGTCTTAAAAACATCTTATCGAGCCTCAACATGAAGATGGCCAATCGTGCGTCACGAAGAAGCAGCAGACTCAGCTTCTCACGGCAACTACTGATTAAGGCAACAAACCGATCAATGTTCAAGTTCAACACACTGAGATCTATCCTTATCAGGCTTCATGTACACCAACAATGGCAATCACGCTAGGCGGTCACATGAAGGTTGTTATCAATGCGATAACCACCAGCCAGTCCAGGGTTTAACAATCTATTCACACATTTATATAAAACAGGCATTGCTGGCAGCATGTGCCCAAAAGAGGACAAGAGTACTAGCAGCAGATTTTACAGAGGTTAATAACTTTCTAAAAGCACAAACATATTGTCAATTTTTTTTATTGACGTCATGGCTATTTTTGTTTTCAACTCTTCTGTAGAAATGACCACGTTTGTAACACGGAAAACTCTGGTTTAAACCTACAGTTACCATGCTAGGCCCGTAATGCTGCTTTGTGCTACAGGACTATGAGGTTACTGGTTAAAATGCTTCAAAATAACCCAGAAACGAAACAAGACATCAGAAAAATATGATTGATTTAACAATCCTAAAGCATCCCTGGTTATCTCGCATATCACCAACATTCAGGTAACACCCAGTGACTAAACAGATAACAGTATGTCAAAATCAGGTTAATGCCATTTGTTTGCAATGCTGCATTTGTGAGCAAACCAGTTAGGACATTCACATTATACTAAATATTCATGCAAATAAAGTTTGCATATGCAAATGTAGACAGCTAATCAACCCACAGGTGTATTCCTGAGACTTTCTTACCCTTTCCCAGGTGTGTGTTAATGCTCATGTAGCGTGCCGTCCCAGTCAGACTTTTGTGCTCCCGATAGGGGATGTGTTTTTTGGTCTCGGGGTCTATGTATTCTTTGGCCAGACCAAAGTCAATGATGTGGATGGTGTGCTGCCTCTTGCTTCCTGGCCGCCCAACAAGAAAGTTTTCAGGCTTCACGTCTCTGTAGATCAGACTCTTGGTGTGGACATACTCCATCCGTGTTATCTAGGTGAACGATCGGTGTTAGCATTTGAAGTTTTAATCGCTCTGCAAGCTGAACAGTTTCCAAACATGAAAACTCAAAGCAGTTTATGCAAAACGCGATAAAAAGAAAGCCTGCCCATTAAAAATGTTAACGGCAGCCAAACCAAAGACAAAACTGCAACAGCACAGCAAGCATGTCCACCTCAGCAGAGGCTTAGAACATGAAAACATCCCAAACCCAAGCACATGTATGTTTACTCAATTTTTTTTTTAAATTTGAATGAAAAAAAAGAGTAAATGCTACATGCACAGGCTTCTCTCATACTCTCATGTTGTGGCTGATGATGCTCATGTAATATCTTACCACTGTCATCTTATATCGACTAAGATTTTAACACCGAATTCAAACACAAAGTAAGTTTGGAACTAGATACTACAGAACTTGGTACTCGTCTCTAGGGCTGAGCCATATTATACCGTTGACGGTAATACCGGTATAATGTTAGGCAACGATAGGAAAATGAAATATCGCGATAGAATATGAGTAAAACGCGCATGCGCAGTGCCTTTGTTTTCATACGCACATGGCCGATTGTTGAGTGAAACAGATGAACCTGAATTGGTTTGTAAAAAGCCTGTCAGATACACAAGAAAGCACATTTTTTTGCAGAACATGCAAGCGGCCGTCATTATTGTCGTATTTGTCGGACTAAGATGCTCTTAAATCTGGTAATCTGGGTCCTAAACTCTGTATGCTTCAGGTCAAATGAACACTGCAGCATCACCAAGAGTTAACTTTCTAAATTCTTTAATCTTTAATAAAACGATCAGCATTGCTGCTTTACCAGGTGTAACTATGAAGTTTAACTTCCAGGCATCCATGAAAACAAACAAAATTTATTACATTTAACGGAGTTAGCAGGAAGCTAGCGGAAGTTAGCTCGCTAGTTTCGCTAGTTACCTAAGCATGATATAGAGATTTCTGAAAAAAATCAAACGTACAGCTCTGCTATCACTTCCAACATAAATGAAGACAGGAAACTAAACAGCAGTGACGTTTGTAGGGTTACTGAAGTTGGGCTAGCTGGTATATAATGATGTGCTACGTGATCGCTAGCGACACAGCTATGTTAGCATAACAAACAGTGAAGCTGGAGGACGAACACTAACACTTTTCCACTTATAAAAGTTAACGTGAAGGTTCCTCATGGTTAGAGACAAATGCAATCGCATGGCAGGATGCTGTAAACGGACCAAACTTCAGTCAGGAGAACAACTGAGATAATCCATCCACAATACGAGGTTAGTTATTAATATACTGCAACAACATGGGAATAGAGCAGCTGGAGAGAATACAGCATTAATGAATCAATGGTACAGAAGTGGAGGAAGCAAGAAGAATGAGTTTAATAAAGTTTGATTTATCTGACTGCTTTGTTTCGCTTAAAGTGCCTTATAATCCCGTGCACCTTATGGTCCGAAAAATACGTACTGCACACTGCAGTTTAATGTTGCAAAGCACCTCTTTTTAACTTCAGTGGATATTATACATGGTTATGCTCAGGATATGTCAGCCCATTTCTACTGGAAATGCCTTTTGGTTAAACTTTCAGCAAGGAATTTGCATTTGCACTGTTAAATTTTTATAAAGCTTTAATATACATAAAAACCAGCTTCTTGTTTAAGTGAAAATAAATGGAAGGTTGTCTTTTTGCACTAGTAATGTTGTGGAGTTGTATTTTGTCTCGCATCAATTATATCGTCAGTTATATCGTTATCGCAAATTTTCAAATATATATCGTGATAAATATTTTTGGCCATATCGCCCTGCTCTACTCGTCTCTACTCTGTTTCTAGCTGCAGTGATAATGGAGCCATCTTCCAGGCAAACACTTTAATAAACTAAAATTCAGACTTTCTGGTATTTACCCACTGAGTTCAGAGTCAGGTTGAGGGGTCAGTAAACCTGCCCTCTGGAACAAGCCGCTAACGACAACATTTGTATTCACAGTTGCACTATGAATAACTTTCTGGGAAGCCTGATGTCACCAAAGCAAGCTCCTCTGAACATATGCTCACTCCTCTCCCACTTTAGGCCTTACCAGCTGTATGGCTATCATGAGGACGGTCTTGAGGGAGAAGGTGCGGTCACAGAGGTCAAACAGGTCCTCTAGACTGGGTCCAAGCAGCTCCAGCACCATGGCATTGTATTTCCCACAAGGACCAAAGTAGTACACCTGAGGGATTCCCTCTGTGGAGACACAATAACAAAGTTAGTGAGACTTTTTAGATTTTGCCTTATAAATTAATTGACTGCAACACAGTTATTGATAATCGGCTTTGCATAATCACTTTTGAGACTTTTATTTTCACTGTGTTACTAAGTCAGAGTTTGTTACACCATTGGTTCCTGGTAGGCCAGCACATGCTGTCAGTGTTGTAGTCAGTCACAACAACTGTAAACAACAGCAGTGAAAACACGATGTTTTAAGTGTTAACATAAATTAAGTGCTTAATTGTTAATTAACAAAGTGCTTTGTGTGCTGAATTATGGTGCTGGTTTGTTGATAAGAAAGAGTGGGGCAAACTTTTATTTCCTCAACAGGTTTTTCAGAAACAGGAGTGGCTTAGTGCTTTCTTTGTCCTCTGAAGCAGGATTAAAGGGAAAGGTGTCAGCGCCCAACCAATAACTGTACAAAGCCTTTGTTACCAGAAACTGCCACACCCATCATAGTCTGTGTATAGGACGACTTCTAAAGAATGTGGAAGGATCAACCCGGCAGTATTTACCTTCTTTAAATATATCAGCGTTTTGACAGTGGAACTTCTGGGGGCGTGGCAAAACTGTTACGAAAACACCCCCTCCCCTGGAATAATCAGGAACAGTAAAGTCTTGCTTCATTTTTCAAAAATACAAGTGCATCTGAAAACCACCAGGAAAGATTCAAATCTCTTAAAATCAACTGCAGTTTGTGTAAATGTTACACAGTAAAGTATTTTGGCCTGAGGCTGCGGTTTCCACACGCTTTATTCTGACGACGACAACAACTGAGACCAGGGAGGATCCAGATTTATCATTTCTTTATAGTGGTTAATCCACCATCATGCACAAGCTCTTTCACCAAAATTATATTTTTAATCCTAAATATAATTATTGTTCTTATTTGTGAATTTTCAAATTGACCATTATACAAAAAAAGTTTTAAAAAATTAGTTAAGTACCTGTTTTTTTTTTTTTTTTTTTTACTAAGATACCAAATTACAGGTCTTTACTTGCATTGCTAAGATGAAAAATTTGTTTTAGTGATTGAACGTTAGGCTTCTTTGTGTGGGCTAAAATTTGGGTTAACAATATACTCATTTTCCTATTTGTTTATTTATTTATTACAAAGGCACAAGAACAGACTTGCTTATCTGGACAGATTTTCTTTTCCAGTCTTATAACCTTTTTGTAGTCATGAGCAGGGTTTTTGAGCCAAAGCTACAAAGTTTGCAGCTTAATGATCAATTCATGGCACCACATTTGTGTCCATTTGCATAGCTATTTGACTACGCAGAGAGAAAGATCACAGGTATGCGACCTTCACAAATGTGCTTGTGTCCAGACTTCTAAAAACCTACAGGGACGATGCTGTGCATAGATTAAATGCTGATTTGCTGAAAAGGAAAGGGAGTGACAGCAGAGATGACCAAATGGAAAATAAACATAGATATCAGTTCTCTTATAGGTTATAACTACAGTACTCTGCAGTGTGGAAGAGCCACCCACAGAATGATTGTTTGACACATGTCTGACGGGGCGGTAAACAGCTACAAAATGTAGGCGATGGTCTGCAAAGCTGTGCACAGGACTGACGTACAGATTCGCACACGTGTGTTTCAGGATTTAATGCTGTTGTTTCTCATTCACTTTGAATTTGGTGAACGTTCCATCCATTAAAATATGTCTTTAAACCACAACAGTGATCTTCCCACCAGATTTACATAAAAATAAAGAGTAAAATACTAAAAGAATGATCGAGCTCTAACATACAAATCTAAGAAGGAACTACAGTGAGACAGAGATGACAGAGTTGTTTAAAGAGCTAAGGATCTGACTTTAGGACTAGTCACGTATTTCTCTCACATTTAAATAACAGCTAGTAAATCAGTTGCCAGGAACATGCTTAGAGTGGGCACAACTCTGCATTGCCTTAATGGTAGTTTAACATTGCAACAGGACCCCAGTGCATCCATGCACACGCATACACACAAACAAGCACGTCCGTCTGCACTTTAGCCTCTAGGATTTCACTGGTGATGATGGAATGGACTGTATTGACATTTATAGAGCACCATTATACTCTTGCTGACCACTAAAAACATTTTATACTAAAAGCCACATTGACTTTTAAAAAAAAATATATATATAAACTTGAAACATAAACACCAAAGACTCTATTCTTTGCATGTTAGTGTTTTATCCAACATGCATCCAAACCAACAGCCAGTTTGGAATCACCAATTAAACGCATGTCTGTGGTCTAATACCACAGATGAGGCAGTGATGAGAGATCACTCGGAGGCCTGCTCGTCAAAGCTTGGCCCAAATCTAGAGGGCATTCAACTCATCACGAGAGGAGAGTGCAGTGTGTATCGTAATCTTCTGCGGGTGAGCAAAGCTTGTACACAGAGCAGCTGCGAGAACTAGTCTAAAAATGACTGATGGGACCAGCTGGGAGTAAATGAGGTGATTTTTGTCAAAAATGTAATATAGACCATGACACAACAATAGCTGTGCAAAAGAGGATCTTGTCTCAAGCATAACGACAAAACAAGGATCCTTCAACAACACACAAAGCAAACTGAAACGCCCCGACCAGGATAAATGGCTGTAATTCTAACCGTAACATAAAGTCGTACAAAAATATAAACTGTGTGTTCAGCATTGTGGGAAAAGCTCTGGCTTTCACTGCAAGCCTGCGTCAGTGGCGCTCTGACCCTTGCTGTCTTGACAATTTCAGACAATTCACCCAATTGTATGAGTAGGCAGTCCTTCTCAGGCGACACAGCAAGAGGGAAGGCGGCATCATGCTAGTCGAACACAATGTTGGCCTACAATGAAATGTCAGCCTTAAGGGCCAAAGAGGAGAAGTCTGGGGGAGAGGGGGCAGCGTCAAAGAGGAGGGTAGAGGAGAAGGAATCCATATTAAAGATTTAGATTAGAGAGTCGAGTATATTGAGGAGAGAGCAGGAGAAGTAGAGACTTCCATTAGGTTCACTGCTCTGAAGAGGTTCTCACAAAGTTGAAATATGATCAGCGTTCGAGCTTTCAAAGACTGAGCCGGGAGCTAAAAATGCAACACAGCTTAAAAGCACAACAATCTCCGAAGATGTAGTCAGGTTAAAAACCAGCAGCTTGAGGATCAAGCAGCAATACTTTTGTTGAGTTTGGGCGTAAGTTAATTATTAATTATATCTGATAACTTTAGATTTTAACCTCCGCAGAAGCATGTGTGGCCCGATGACACCACAGCTTAAGGACACAGTTGTTAAAATAATCTTATCAGTCCAACTTTGAATAATACCAGCAGCAGTAAATATATAAAAGCACATGATTTTCCAGGGTCACAGCAGGTGGGTGGATGAGCCTCAATGATTTGCAGAAAACATTATCAACGTGCCGCGTCATGCCACTGAAAGCCTTCATGATTCTGAATATTAACAGCCGCAATATTCGAGAGGAGACCTCCATACAAATGACCCTAATTACATAACATCCATGCAGGCGTGATGAGATGACTCGAAGAGCTACATGGCTATAAAATGCCATTAAATGATACCTACTCTCTATAAACTGAAGCCAGTCCCCTGACAGTGGTAAAGTGAACGATTGGTAGCATTAGACTTCTTCTAAAAGGATGTGTCAATGACTTGTTTTGCTACTGGCAGCAGCAGCAACTGCAATAACAGATCCATTCTAAATGTTCACAAAAATCTGCAAAGTGGGAGACAGGATTCCCAACAGCGGGGATCTGTTCAGGACAAGAGAGAATTAATAGTGTGCAGATAAGCTCCTCCTGGGCGTTAAGCGCTGAGTAGTCCGTGCTGTGACATATTTGAGGTTCTCCGGTTGGGCAGGACTAACAGGGTCACATGTCCCCATTAAGCCAAGTTGACAACATAAGTAGATTTAATCTATCGCCTTGATTCCTCCCATGCTAGACGGTCAAGTGAGCCTTCCTGACATATCACCATGTAGTGGTCAGTCACCAGCTGGAGATGAGGCCTCTCTGCTCAGCTCTAATACTGCAGCTCTAAAGTGTTGTGCAAGTAGCAAAAGAATGAATCACATTTTGATAGAGTCAGATATTCCCCATTATTTTCCTTGATTTACACACACAGTTTGCAAAACTTGACAATATTATGTAGCCACCTGTTGAATGTGAACATCTCTTAATGTCAGAAAGCAGCCAGATCGCTTCATTTATTTAAAATAAATGAGCCTTGCCACAGAAATTACTCGTGTGTGTATGCTTCCGCTTGCAAAAGATTAACACAAAAGACATCTGGCACAGGTCGGAGCAAATCACTATTACTGAACCTGTTTAGAACAGGAACATAATATACTTCAACCTAAAACAAATTAAACCACTGACAGTTCAAGTGAACAACCTTGATTATCCAATTACACTGGCACCTGACTATTAGGCAGTCAGTGTTCAAAGGATAATGTGGTGGAAGAAAAAACAGAAAGTGCAGGAGTTCAGGGAAAGCTGGCTTGTGCTTGTTACAGCAGTGCTACTGCAGTACAAACTGCTGAGAATCCTAATTTTACTCAGTGAAAGCTATCCGAACACAAAGTACATCACAGTTTGCTGCGTATGGAAGTCTGCAGTCACTCAGTGTCCATGCTGACCCTGTCCAACGCCCCATGCTCACAATGGGCATGTGTGAATCAAAACTGGACAGGAAGTGGAAGGAAGATTGCCTGGTCTCATGACGCATACCATTATTGTGCACACCCAGGTGCGTGTGTGGTTGCTCGTGGTTCCAGCAGTTTGGGAAGAAGGCAAGCCAAAGCGGTGTGATACTCTGGGCTTCTTTGGCTTGTTGTCCCGGTGAGTGACAGGGGAGGACTAAAACAGCCCAACAGTGCCATGTGTGGGATTAATGGCTGTGAGCCACATCAGGGATACTTTAAAAAGGCCAATGATCACTTGTTGGTTTTTAGCACCCCTGAGGGATGGCTACTGAACAACAAACAGAGGAATGGAG